GAACAATGGTGTATCGCACAGGGGAACAAGGGTGGATCGTGCGGCGGAACAAGTGTGGATCACACAGGGGAACAAGGGTGTATCGCATGGCGGAACAAGGGTGGATCGTGCGGCGGAACAAGTGTGGATCACACAGGGGAACAAGGGTGTATCGCATGGGGGAACAAGGGTGGATCGTGCGGCGGAACAAGTGTGGATCGCACAGGGGAACAAGGGTGTATCGCACTGGGGGACAAGGGTGTATCACACGGGGGAACAAGGGTGTATCACACGGGGGAACGAGGGTGGATCGTCTTGGGGAACAAGGGTGTAACACACGGGGAACAAGTGTGTATCGCAGGGGAACAAGGGTGTATCGCACTGGGGACAAGGGTGTATCACACGGGGAACAAAGGGTGTATCGTATGGGGAACAATGGTGTATCGCGACGGGGAACAAGGGTGTATCGCATGGGGAACAAGGATGTATCACACGGGGGGAACAAGGGTGGATCGTCTTGGCGGAACAAGGGTGTATCACACGGGGGAACAAGGATGGATCGTTCGGGGGAACAAGGGTGTATCACACGGGGGAACAAGGGTGTATCGCAGGGGAACAAGGGCGTATCACACGGGGGAACAAGGGTGTATCGCACGGGGGAACAAGGGTGTATCACATGGGGGAACAAGGGTGTATCACACGGGGGAACGAGGGTGGATCGTGCGGGAGAACAAGGGTGTAACACACGGGGGAACAAGTGTGGATCGCACAGGGGAACAAGGGTGTATCGCGCTTGAACTTCTTGTGCAGAATAGTGACCCTTTGCTGACAGAATCTGCTGGTTGTGGTATGAATCTCCATGGTGACTATCAGAAATAATCCACAACCAGCTGAACAGAATACAGCAGTTAGAAACCATTCTCTTTAGCTTCACTTGTGTGGTATCACATAGAAAGGTAATTTATTATGATTAGCCTGTTGAAGGGGCAAGGAATTGCTTTGATGCATTGTTACATACAATGTAGAATTTATCATCATTAATCTTTTCATGTATTTATAAAGTTGTATGCAGAATATTTTTGTTGTAAATCAGTTTTGTTTCTGAAGCCTTACCAGATCATTTTCAACTCTTCTTTTTCCTGGCACATTGAAATAATGTCTTATGATAAATATTTATAATTTTGAAAAGCAGTGTGTGGTCTTTGGTATAAGTCAAAACTTGATATACTTGTGAGTGCAGTTATTGTTCTGTCTTGTACTAAATGTTTGTATTAGGTGGTGTGTTCATAACCTCTTGACTTTAAAGAACTGTTTGTACAATTGACTTGTTTTACAATAGCTTTCATCAACTAATTCCAAATGAGTACAAAAGAGCTAATCTCATGGCCTGGGAAGAGTTAATCATACTTCTGGATTCAGAACAGCCGCTGTGCTTCACATGCTTAATACAGTGTATAATGGCGATGGGGAGACAGAGACGGAAACAACACTGTATTAATAGATGACGGACAGAGAATATAGCATATCAATATGATCAGCATTTAGATGTTCCACAATGAAAAATATCATTTAGAAGGTACATGTAACACCTTTAATGAAAAATTACAATGCTAAAAGTTTAAACAAGATAAAAATTACAATTAAACAGAGCATCCTAAACATCGGTCACGAGTTAGTGTATTTTACTGTAAAATTAGACAATAAATTGGTCACCCCACACAACCAAATACCCCACTAACCATCCTAACCCACTACATGCCACACCCTCCCAACATACCACATGCAACACCTCCCCAACCCACCACATGCCACACCTCCCCAACCCACCATAAGCCACACCTCCCCAACCTACCATATGCCAAATTTCCCCAACCCACCACATGCCACACCTCCCCAACCCACCACATGCCACACCTCCCCAACCCACCATATGCCACACCTCCCCAACCTACCATATGCCAAACCTTCCCAACCCACAATATGCCACACCTCCCCAACCTACCATATGCCAAATTTCCCCAACCCACCACATGCCACACCTCCCCAGCCCACCAAGTGCCACACCTCCCCAACCTACCATATGCCAAACCTCCCCAACCCACCATATGCCACACCTCCCCAATCCACCACATGCCACACCTCCCCAACCCACCACATGCCACACCTCCCCAGCCCACCAAGTGCCACACCTCCCCAACCTACCATATGCCAAATTTCCTCAACCCACCACATGCCACACCTCCCTCCCCCAACCCACCACATGCCACACCCACCCAACCCACCACATGCCACACCTCCCCAACCCACCACATGCCACACCTCCCCAGCCCACCAAGTGCCACACCTCCCCAACCTACCATATGCCAAACTTCCCCAACCCACCATATGCCACACCTCCCAACCCACCACATGCCACACCTCCCCAACCTACCATATGCCAAACTTCCCCAACCTACCAAATGCCACACCTCCCCAACCCACCACATGCCACACCTCCCCAACCTACCATATGCCAAACCTCCCCAACCCACCATATGCCACACCTCCCCAATCCACCACATGCCACACCTCCCCAACCCACCATATGCCACACCTCCCCAGCCCACCAAGTGTCACACACTCCCAACACACCACATGCCACACCCTCCCCAACCCACCACATGCCACACCCTCCCCAACCCACCATATGCCACACCTCCCCAACCTACCATATGCCAAACTTCCCCAACCTACCAAATGCCACACCTTCCCAACCTACCATATGCCAAACTTCCCCAACCCACCACATGCCACACCTCCCCAACCTACCATATGCTAAACTTCCCCAACCCACCACATGCCACACACTCCCAACCCACCACATGCCACACCTCCCCAACCTACCATATGCTAAACTTCCCCAACCCACCACATGCCACACCTCCCCAGCCCACCAAGTGTCACACACTCCCAACACACCACATGCCACACCCTCCCCAACCCACCACATGCCACACCCTCCCCAACCCACCATATGCCACACCTCCCCAACCTACCATATGCTAAACTTCCCCAACCCACCACATGCCACACCTTCCCAACCCACCACATGCCAAACTTCCCCAACCCACCACATGCCACACCATCCAAACCCACACGCTCAGATCAGCTCTCATGTTCCGGACACCCTGAAGACCTTGACTTGCCTCAGTTTGTTGGGAGATGTCAGCTGCTCGCCGTAATGTCATGATAGATTTATCAATTTTTTCTTAATCACTAATTTGTCCTTTTTAAACCAAATCAATTGGGTTCAACAGAACTCATCAATTCCCAAGATTTTGCACCAAGTTGCTCGTGATTTCCTTAATCTGCTTTAGTTTAACAAGCACTGATGTAAATACAAGCCATCACAGACAAATCTGTCAAATTACAAGGAGACTGGAGATTTTAGTTTCTACTGAATATTTATATTTCCATGTGCAACTAAAACATAAAAAAAAATCGTCGTTTAAAGTGGGCAATCCACTCTCATAAGATATTTCTTAGAAACGTAACTACTTAAAGCTGATTTTAAAGCAATTTTGATACTATAACCGTTGCAAGTCGGACAAGTCTTTATGGATGATCAACTTCTATCTTGTAAAATAGTAACGTTTCGGTATAGATACTTATACCTTCTTCAAGCATGATGCTTGAACGTTGTTATTGTACAAGAAAGAAGTTGATCATCCATAAAGACTTGTCATTCCTATTGCTGACAACTTCTAGAGTGCCTCTTAAACAGTTCATTGCAAGTCTATCTGAAGGTGTTCATACCAAAACGATTTGTGAAAACTGAGCTTAAAGTGATCCTTGTTAAACTCCTTAGAAGTACTATAAGCTGAGTGACTTTAGTTTTACGCCACTTTTAGCAATATTCCAGCAATATCATGGCGGGAGACACCAGAAATGGGCTTCACACAATGTATCCATGTGGGGAATCAACCCGGGTCCTCAGCGTGACGAGCAAACGCTTTAACCACTAGGCTACCCCACGACCCTTGTACTGCAGCTTCTGTAACATAGGGTGGTCTTCGAACAACGACTCCTTTATGCTGAACTAGAGTGGTCATCAAACAACAACTACTTTCAGCTGAACCCAGGTCTTATTATAAATATCTAAACTGCAGTAGTAAGTCCATCATTAGAGGCTCTTATTAGTTCAATGTTAAAATGATCAGTCACAAAAAAACTTTTTCCAATTTTGTATTTAATGTTGTTTTTACTTAAATACATGTGCATGGAGGGGTAACAGATGTGAATAATTTGGAAAAAGTCTGGAAACAACAACAAAATCAATACTGTTACTGTTAATTGTATAATGGAGCTGTTAGCAATATGTTAAAGTTATTGTGGGGGACACAAAATGTCACTTTATTGGGTTTCTTGATGGAACTGAACAATTAATGACAAGAGAATGCTGACATTTGCTGGCGGTAGCGTAGCATAGTGAGTAATATGTTGCCTGTCTGACTTATGATCTGGGTTTGATTCCTCACTTGCATACAATGTGTGTACCCTGTTTCTGGTGTTCCAGGCAATGATATTTGAACCCCGTTTCTGGTGTTCCAGGCAATGATATTGTTGGAATATGGCTAAAAGCCACAGCAATCCATTCTCACTGTTAATGTTTGATTTCATTTCAATGACTTGTTTCTCTAACAGTGACTGTTGAAGTCCCCAAAAGAAAAAGAACCCATGGTGTTAGGAAATACATTGCTTCACAAATGCTTTCATGCTTTTCATTTATTTTTTTTCAAGTATGTTTTTCAAATTAATTGATTATCAAAGAAAATTGTCAGGCTATGAATTCAAAGATATATTGGTTGTCCTTATTTTTAGGAAAATCAAAAGCATAGAGTTCAATTAGGTTCTGTAGATGGAATCTAACAGTATTGATAACACACAGGAGATACCTCTGTACAGAAGACAGATGACGTATTTCATGTTTTACATGATTAGAAGCAGTTTGGCACAAGGGTATAGAATGTTGTCTCCTCCAGGCTTGCCGAGGTACGAAGATGGATTATGGAGTCCATGTGTCCGACTCAAGTCTGTCATCCAAAGACGAAGATGAAATAGATGCTGCAAACAGTGTCAGCATACGCAAGATTCCCATTGAAGCTGACTTCCTGTTTGCGTATTCAACTGTACCAGGTACAAAAGTGTTTCAGATGGATGGAACAATTGTAAGATAAAAAGTTATAACTTCCCAACATGCAGTTTGTCATATAACTTAGTGTGAGATAACAAGGATTCATCATAAGTAACATACCGTATACACAGCAAGTGTTTCGTACCTGAAAGGAAGGGGCTGAGAAAGGGGGTCGCCTTATACGCAGGGAGGAAGATCACACATTGTTTCCGACTGGTGATGTCAGTCTCCAATAGTGATGTTGTTTGACATTATAGAGGGAGTATATAAATTTGCGTTGATTTTGAGTGAGTGAGTGAATTTTGTTTTACGCCGCATTCAGCAATATTCCAGCTATATGGCGGTGGTCTGTAAATAATTCGAGTCTGGACCCGTCAATCCAGTGATCAACAGCATGAGCATTGATCTGCGCAATTGGGAACCGATGACGTGTGTCAACAAAGTCATTGAGCCTGACCACCCGATCCCGTTAGTCGCCTCTTACGACAAACATGGGTTACTGAAGATCAATATTCTAACCTGGACCTTCACGGGTCGCCGTTGAGTTTGAGTGAGTGAGTATGTTTTACGCTGCTTTTTAGCAATATTCCAGCAATATCACGGCGGGGGACACCAGAAATGGGCTTCACACATTGTACCCATGTGGGGAATCGAACCCGGGTCTTCGGCGTGACGAGCAACGCTTTAACCACTAGGCTACCCCACTGCCCCCGTTGAGTTTGAAGGCTTGTAGAGGGGGGTTGTTTTATATCTGGGGTCACACTGTACATGGCGATATATTGTATGCAATTTAAGAGTGGGGTTCATTTCACTACTTTTTTAAGAAATGTTGATGTCACGGTATGAAAATCTGAATTATGTGGAGACATGTTTTCAACAAGAACTCTACATAGAGAATGGCTGTTTGGTATGATGTTGTCAAGTGAAATGAACATCCTGCCTCCTGCTGGGATTCTGGGAGGAACAAAGGGACACAGGTCCCTCTTTTGCATGCAATGCAGTCAAATCCATTAATTTAACATTTGGGCTGGGTCATGTTGCCATTTAGAGGTGGAAGGTGTTGGGGAATAACTCCAGGGATACACAGTGTTACACGTGAAAGCTTAAATAATGAACAGATAGCCCAGTGGGCAGTGTGCTTACCTCTGAGTTGAGATAAAAAAAGATTTTCAGATAAAATATATATATGTAATTTATTTTAAAGGCTTTGGGGTTCTTTTCTTATTTATGTTGGGCAAACATAATATTATAATAATAATAGAATAATTATTCTTAATTATATTTGGTAGGGGGAAATAGAAAAGAAATATATGCTAAATAGAACTTTTGTGTAAAATATTTCCCTTAAAACTTATTTAATGGAAACAGGATAAATGTTGTTCAGTCTGAACCCACATTTGTGTCTTTGCATAAACAGGTAATTACAAATTGAACAGGCCACGTGTATGCATAATAATGTCTTTATATGTTTTGTGTATTAAACATATATTACATCCTGTCTCCATGTGTATGCATAATATTGCCATTATATGTTATGTATTATATTTTATTATATTATATATTACATCCTGTCTCCCTGTATTGTATTTCAGGTTACTATTCGTGGAGGAACAACCAGGACGGCTCCTGGTTCATACAGGCCCTGTGCATAGTGTTGGAGAACTATGGTTTAAAGATGGAGCTTCTGCACATGCTCACACATGTCAACAGGATTGTTGCCTATGAGTTTGCGTCCTGCACGGACCGTGAATTCACGGACAAGATGAAACAAATGCCCTGTGTTGTTTCCATGCTGACTCGATATGTTTTTTTCCGACACAAGAAACAAGACATCAGATGAGGAAGTCTCCATGGATGGTGCTTTGCTTTTGGAGTTGAATATTGAAGAAAATGTTGCCATAGAGATGGCGAAACTGTAATGGCCTTGTCTGGCTTCGAGAATTACAGATGAATTATTTTGAACAAAACAGTTTTTTAAGATCTGATTGTTTTTATCTGTGTTGAATTTTATAAAAGCAACAGCAAGGAAATATTTTAAGACTGTAACAGAAAGTAAAAGTAAACTGATTGGTGTACTGGTAATATGTATTAGCTCTGTGTTATCATCACCACAATCACTTTGTTTTGCCTTCCACATGCTCACTACACATTCAGAGAGGTTATGCTGGACCCAGTGATATGAGGGGCTATCAAAAAGTTTTGAACCTAAAAAACTTCTTATATGTGAATGATAAAAATAACTGTATTCACATAATCGTAATATTGACATGTACATGTCCCTAGCTGTCAATTGCTCTTCAATTTGCTTTTCCGGGTGGCTTTCGAGGACCAAAAACTTTATGACTGCTCTATAGCTTATCCATTTCTGACGTTTCTATAGGGTTACATGTGATTATAGCAACATGTGCATATCAATATTAATTTTACGCGAATGATATAAACCATTCTTCAATACCATACAGAGTTTTTTATCATGTACATATCAGAAGTATTTTTGTCTCAAACTTTTTGTTAGCCCCCGTATATACTAGTCAAAGGAAGTTAAAGAACACCATGGCCATACAGATTAACTATTGTTGTATGACAAAAGGGGTTATTGAGTAGTATATATTGATATTAACACATGGTGATATATCAGTTAACATACGGGCTTTGTAGGTTGGGGTTTTAGCTGAAGGAAGAAAAGATTATCATTCAACTTCAGATAAGGGACATGGGTGAACCACAGTATTCCAAGTGTTTGTATAGAGTTGTATCCCTTGGGCATGCCAGGAGCCTATGAATCCCAGATCCCTTCTGTTTATGGTTTCAGTTTTGTTACCACCGCTTGTGGGTTTCACCAAAGTGGTAAAAATCTAATTTCCTGACATCAAGGTAGCATGAATGGAAGATTAAACTTACTTACTTCTTCAAATAATCTATATGCAGTGTAGTGTACTGGTCTTTCAGGCTGGATGGGGACATCATGAACCATTCCTTCTCAGATGTTTGATATGAGTGAGTAAATGTAAATGAGTTGAGATAAAGGTCCGTCTGTCTAGTTATATATAGATAAGGAAGTACGAGGGGGGAAAGTTGTGTTGTATGATGATGGAGCACTATGGGTAGGAAGCACCTGCACCACACTATCTCAGTCTGCCACTAGGGCTCAAATGGTACACCGAGGTCAGGAACCAGTCTATATCAGTGTATTATGTAATGTTTATGTAACCAAGGATACCAAAGTCTGTTTTTTGTTTCCAGGTTTGTTTTTGATATATGGTCATGACACACAGCCATGATACACCAATATGTAGGCTAAAGTCAGTACAGAGCGGATCAGGTCATGTATCTCATCAAAGGTTGATATCACTTTGCATTTGTTAATCGTTTCAGCCTCATCTCCAGCATGCCATTCACATTGTGGTATCAAGCTAATTATACACTGATAACACTGCATTCACCACCTATATTCCCTAGTGGGGGCATGATGGTGTGTAATAAAGAGCAACTGCCGATCAGCTTGAGAATTACTTGATGACAGTTGCATTAATGATCTGGAGGTATGTGTTATTGGTTATTTTATCTTCGGGGTAGGTTGGATGAAGAACGTAAAGGGAAGGTCATACAAAATCATGATGGGGGAAAAGGAGATAGTGCTGTGGAGACAACTACACATAATGAAGGTCATGTCGATATGGCACTTTTCGAAGTATTTAGTATATTCATACATGTTACTCCGAAGAAGTTAAAGAACACCCCATTTTGTATATGATTATAGTTAGTTACTCAATCATATAAGACAGATTAACTACAGTTACAAGAAAACAGGATGGAATTTCACTCCTTTGGAGTAGTATATGTTGTTTGAAGATAATGTGGCAGAACATAAAGGGTCATAAGAGGAAAAAGGAAAAGTGTTTTGAAATGATCAGAGAAAAATCGATTTACATTTGCAGAGAACAGTTTTTTAGTAAATGCCATGGAACAAAATCTCCTCCTTTCCCACTATCGTAAGTGACTCTGCATTAAACCTCAGACACACAAGGCTGTTGGAGACAGGAGAACCATGTACATGATTGATGAAAAGTGAAAAAATATATAAATTGGCATCATATATCTGTCTGTAAATGGATGCTACCTTTCTTGTGATGTACCAGATCAATTTTTTTCTTAATTTGTTTATCAATATGTTCATGTCTTGGATTCCATTGTATAGGAAATATGACCTAACCATTAGTTTATACCACAGAATAGGACAGTCAAGGTACAAGTCCATAGTCCAGTTCAACTAAGGCTACCACAGAGGTACAATGTCTCTTTGACATAATATTCTGTCACATAGACCATCACATGTTAAAGTAGAAGGGAGGTAACTCTTGTTAACACTACCGAACACTAAGGATACTCTTGTGGGACCAAACATCTTTTAGGATCAGTTTGGCAGACATTAACAGACTTTGTGTCTGATGTAGACGGATATATACTGCAGAAGACCATTAATACTATACTGATACTTTAAACCATTTCTTTTAAATGTGTGTTGCATCTGTTATGGAATTTAGTACTTTACAGAAAGGAGATAGTGTTTTCTTGCAGTTTTGAATAATATATTATATCTCATGAAACAGATTAAATATATCTCATTTACAATTCTTTTATTTATATCCATTTAGTTACATTGAGGCATACAGTAATAATATGAGCAATGGTCTTGATAATGTAGTGGCCCTACACTCTAAAACACACACACACCACAATTTCTGTAGGGGGGAAGGAGGGGACATGCACCATTGTTTCTCGAGATGTATGATACCTACTACTTTAAACACGCACGCGCACACGCACACACACACATTCTCAAAAAGCTGTATCCGCCCCTGTGTGTGTCTATGTGATATACCGAGCTACTGGCCAGTGTACCTCGGTACTGGTCGGTGTCAGTGTATTGATGATGACCATGTGACAGTGGTTTAATGTCCACAGTCAGTTAGTATGACTGTTTATATCTTAACTGATAGGATACAGTGGTTATACAACAGTCACCTCCTGTAAACCCATGAGTCATCCATGAATATTTGGCTGGGTTTGTCAGCACCCTACCCATGGGTTTAAATGGAGTTGTGATCTGCACCACTTCAGGCTTTCCTGCCACATGAAGATGTCTTGCTGTGATGTAACTGAAATACTGTGTCAAACCCACTCACTCATCCGCAATAGTATCTACATTTTCCAACTGACTACATATTATAACCGTGTGGTGGGGTAGCCTAGCGGTTAAAGCGTTAGCTTGTCACGTGGGTACATTGTGTAAAGCCAATTTCTGGTGTCCCCCGCTGTGATATTGCTGGAATATTGCTAAAAGTGGCATTAAACCATACTCACTCACTCACTCACATATTAAAACCATTGATAAACTTTGCAGAAGTAATAACATGATCAATATTTTGTATATCTAGACTCATACTATTATGATATGGGCAATGGATATTTCTAAATTTAGTCACCCACTACAATGATAAGGGCAATGGATATTTCTAAATCTAGTCACCCACTACAATGATAAGGGCAATGGATATTTCTAAATTTAGTCACCCACTACAATGATATGGGCAATGGATATTTCTAAATCTAGTCACCCACTACAATGATAAGGGCAATGAATATTTCATGAATCTAGTCACCCACTGTTATGATACGGGGAATGAATATTTAATAAAATGAAAGTCAAGTCACCCCCTCTTCTGATATGGACAGGTAAGATTTAGTAGATGCACGCTGCTTGAATATATCCATATAACAGTCCCTACTTCCTGCAACACATCTTATCCTTTATGGTCTAAGTGATAACTGACGTTCTGTAAAGAGTTGATATTTGAGACAATGTCACTGCAGATATGGTACAATGTCAACAGGGATGTTGATAGGACAGATGTTTATGTTGATCTACATTGATTTGACAGTCATATTTACAGTATTTGGAATTTCAGACAGAATATATGATGTTCCTAAAGATTTAGCTTGTATTTGATGTGGTTGAGATGTTTGAGAAGCTTCTTGTGGATTGTAAACACATTTTAAGTGCCTGTGATTGAAGAATGCACGACCAGGTGTTTGAGAAACTGAATGCCTGCAAACTAAGGTTCTCAGACCTAAACAGGGGCCTTTTTCTCATTGGCATAGCAGACAAGCAGTTTCCACTGGGAAAACTGATTAGCTGTTGAAGTATTATTTGCAATAACTCTTGTATATTATTCAGTTATTTCTTCATTATATTTGTTGGATCACATTGTTTTTCTGCCAAAGGGGAAGATTTCGAAGGAGGGGATCCGCACAAAAACTTAATGAACTTTGGTTTCAAACACTTGCAAGTGGGCGAATTTAGTTTAGCAAAGTACATGTATGTGTGTTGACGTGAAAAGAGCTTGATTTATTACTCTACAACTACCATCGATCACTTTGTCTGAATATTAATGTCAAATTGGTTGAGGTGAGATGAAATGGGGTTTAATGTCAGAGTATTGCACTTATGATATATGTGCATGCATGCTTGCTTATAATCAACCAATGCTGCTTTATAGTGCTAGCCCATTGAGATACAATGTCACATTTACATGTATAATACCAGTGCAACAACAAGTACCATCCTTTAAAGTATCACCCATCTCGGATGCAGATGCAGCATCCACTAAACCTTGAACGCAGTCATATTTTAAAAATTAGCACTTAAAAAATAAATAAAAATGGAATTAAAATAACTTGTATTATTTTCCTTTTCAGTCTGCAAAAGCTGGCAGACCTGTGATCCAACAAATATAACAGTATTAAAATGGCCTTGTTTGATTAGCCTGCGTTAGACATGGGTTTCACATGCATCTTCTCCTAGATTCCAGAAATGCGACAACCAACACCTTTGCCCCAACATCTGTAGTGAGAATGTTGGGATGTCAATGCACCAATCCAAGTCAAATCAAATTAGTTTAGCTTCATAGTGTACCACTGGAATATGGAAACTTTCTGTCTGTTCTTCATTTCATTTTCCTTATTCATATAATTAACCTTCTTTAACTCTAAGCTAACTGAATATCAATCCAAAATCAATGCAGATGTATGTATTGGTATGACTATACTGAGGGAAACAAATAAAGGAACACCTGGCAGTTTGCCTTTGTTATTCACCTACCATGCAATACAAAGTTTGCAAATAACTTGTACTTTCGCGTGCTCCAGTAATGTTTCCCTCAGTATATATACATTATATCGCTCCTGGACCAAGACAGCACTGAGCTTATGCAATGGTTTTGTCCTTTATATTTTCTGACTTGGTCACATTTCTGTCAATGTACAACTATGTATATAATTTGTATTTCTGAAGTCATACACTTTGTTATGTTGTATATTGCTTCTTACTTTGCTAGTCACCTTAGCATTTATTTAATGTTATTTAGAATTCAGTCTTTCAATATTTATAATACAAGTAACACAAATGTCTTACTGAGCTTCTGTGCCTAGTGGTTCTGTTTTTGAGATTAGTGTAAGCTGGCATCATTTGTGTTCTATGCCACACAAAAGGAGTTGAGTAGCACCCAGTTCTTTCTAGTTAATCTGTACCATGACGGAACTAGGTGGCTCTTTCTTGTGTGGTATATATTTGAGTCACACATTATTTCCTGTACAGATACATGTCCAAGATGAATGGTTTGTTTAGTTGCTTCAGACATCCAGGTATATTATACACAACAATGTCTAGCCATGTAGTTTCTATACACCATTTATACACAGTTGTATTCTTGATTCATTTGCTTTATACCCATGCAAATGGTGAATAAAGTTAAAAAAGACGAGTGTTGGTTGTCTTGACTGATGGGCCACCGTTGAGGCTGTTATGCACTGAATGAAAACTCTATGGATGTACAGTAATTATATCCATATAATACTTATATCTACATATACTGGACAAAAATAGTTAGGGATATATGTAAATTTTGAAATTATGAATAATGATCTATTTATTCATTGACACATTGATAAAATATCAATCATAGAAATACCAATATCCCTAACTTATTTTGTCCAGTATATTTGCATACATACACAGACAGTATAAGGAGGCCAGTCTTTTGTAGGGACAATTCATATTTTATTTATAGAATATGACATAAAAGGATGATAACTTCCTTGAAGTGTGCAAGTTTTGGAGCATTTGGGCTTCATAGACTTTGGATAGCCTCACAATTTGGAGAAGTGCACGTAAAATCTCCAAAACATCATCATCACCTCACAACTTAATCACAGATTTTAGGGTGAGGGGTAGACTAATGCTTAGTCTCTGAATATATATAATTTTGATAGTAACAAGCAAGCCCATTTAAATTGAAAAGGAGCCCTAGGGAGAACCTGAGGAAATCTAGACTTGCTTTATTTAGGGCTTTAGCACTGCAGAGAGTACTTGGCAGTGGGGAAAATAATGTGGTTCAGGGACTGTGAGACAGACTAGGTGAGGGGATAACCCTTTGATATGAGGTGGTGAGGTTATTTTGGTATTTTTGTTGCAGACCGTGGTTAATCAGTGCTCCAAACCATACATTTTGTCTCAAAGGACAAACTAGACAAACTAAACTCACAACACATTTTTAGAGCATTTCTTGTTTACTAAGGCAGTGTAATCCTATATGTAATGGCTACATTTGAACACTTTATAAAAGACATTATCTATTCATCATTCATGTCTGGTGGATATTTGTGGATGTGAAACATGAGGCCATTTTGTCTACTATGTTTCCGAGAACAGTTTCAAACCATTTTAGATGGTCATCCCCAAAGTACAAATGAATTGGACGGCATCCCAATTTCCCTTTTACTCTAGACTGGACATAAGCATGAGACCATGAGATGAGTCTGTCTGTAAAGAGCCTCCATTAGTCAGCTGACTAATGAAGTGGGTAATGTCACCCTATTTGGGAGGGTAGCTTGAAACAATGGATGCTCCCTGCATGGTCTGAGCAGGTCAATAGAGACAAATGATGGATGTATGGGCAAGAGGGATTTGATTTTGCAGTCAACCGGAGATAATGATCTTACACTGAACTGCCACATTGACGTCTGGCTTCACTGACAGCAGACGAAAAGACAAAATTAATTGGTGCTGGGTTACTTACTAAATAAATGAGACATCCTGTATTGTTTAATTTTTTGTAAAAAAGAAAAAAGGGTCTACTTAGGGCAAAAATGCATGCTTTTCTTAGAAACTAACATGACCTACAATTTTGGAATTTCTGAGTGTCCCCTACTATTTACAAAGAGTTTATTAAGCATGGGTTACTGAAGGTTCATTCTAACCCGGACCTTCACGGGTGGTACAATCTGAACCAAGCAGTGACTATTGATTATGTGATTACATTACAGGGATTACAAATGTAGTACCTGTGAACCCGTGACGATCTGGGTTACAATTGATGTTCAGCAACCCATGCTTGTCGTAAGAGGTGACTGACTGTATTGGGTGGTCAGGCTTGCCGACTTGGCACGTCATCGTATCCCAATTGTGCAGATTGATGTTCATGATGTCAATCACTGGTTTGTCTGGTCCAGAATTGATTATTTATAGACTGCCATTATATTGCTCAGTGCAGCTTTAAACAACAAACAAGTCATATTATGCCCTTGAATCTCAATACCTGTGAAGGTCCGGGTTAGAATACTGATCTTCAGTAACCCATGTTTGTCGGTTCCCAATTGCGCAGATCGATGCTCATGCTGTTGATCACTGGATTGTCTGGTCCTGACTCGATTATTTACAGACCGCCTTCATATAGCTGGAATATTGCTGAGTGCGGCGTAAAACTAAACTCACTCACTTGAATCTCAATGTGAGGGCAATCAAAAAACACTTGGGCCATAAATCTCAATAATGGGTGGACATAAAAACTCAACACTATGGAAGTAAACAGTTGTCAGGTGCCAGAATGAGTGCAATTTGTTTCAAACTAAAAGTTTTAATTGTTGTAGCTAACATAATGTTGAATGCGACACTGTGACACTGATAGTGATATGTTCCAAAGATTTAGAAAAACGATTTAAGACTTAATGCTACAAGACAGTTGTTTCTTACTTCATGATGAACGAAGTCCCATAACATATAAACTCGAGGTGTGAAGGTGATTTAAAATCAGGAGCCTTAAAACAGGCACAAAACAGGGATACACAACTACAGAAGTAGAAACATATTAGACATTGTTTATTTGACATTACTCTTTCATCACACATAAATATCATCCTAGTAAAACTCCACATTAGCTCAATACTCATATACATGCTCAAACCTCAGCTAATGAAATAGACGCAGTACCATAACATATAAAAGATCTATATAATATACAAATTGAAAATTATGTTTACTTCAACAAACCACTAAGTAAACAGGCTTTCATTTTGCAAAACGCAATGAAACCAGTGAATTCATTGAATAGATCTGGATGATTAAAACTCAAATGAAAGAATTACTGGAATAACTGCCTTAACATTTCCATGTAAACATGAGACACTACATCCCAATTATACGAAGGGATCTGAGAGCTATGACTGTTAGGCAAAGTGTGGGTGTTATGAATGTCCTAGTGTTGAGATTGTTTTGTGTATGTGAGCCTTTGCCTCAAAAACAGCTTCAAACCATGAACATTCTCATCAACATGACAAATCTCATTACACTAGCAACAAACAGCTGATTCTTTTAAAAGCTTTATTGATCTTAGTATGTTTATATTACGAATAACACTCAATGACATAAGAGGAACACATTGTGTCTCCTCCAGCCAGCATCATAGACGGTAACTGCAAGTACATGTTTACATGTACAACAAGGTGAAAAATGTATCGTCAACATCATGAATAATTTCGTTTACACAAAAAGAGAATAGAAGGTTCAAGGCATCTCATATTTCATACTTTGGAAACTACCCCAATATCCAGAAAACAGTGCTGTCATGTCAGGTGAGTGAGTGAGTTTACTTTTTACACCGCTTTTAGCAATATTCCAGTAATATCAAGGTGGGGAACACCAGAAATGGGCTTCACATACTGTACCCATGTGGGGAATTGAGCCCGGGTATTCGGAGTGACGAGCGAACGCTTTAACCACTAGGCTACCCCACCGCCCCTGCTTGTCAAGAGGCACAACACAGGGATAAACAACTACAGAAGTAGAAACATATTAGACATTGTTTATTTGACATTACTCTTTCATCACACATACATATCATCCTAGTAAAAACTCCATATTAGCTCAATACTCATATTCATGCACAAACGCAGTACCATAACATCATATTAAACATCTATATAATATACAAATTGGCTATGAAAATTGTGTTTACATCAAACAAACCACCAAGTAAACAGGCTTCATGTTTCTATGATTTAGATGTTTAAAATTCAATTGAAAGAATTATTGGAATAACTGCCCTAACATTTCTACTTAAACATGAGACTACATCCCAAATATACAAAGGGATACAAAGTGAGTGAGTTTAGTTTAACACTGCACTCTGCAATATTCCAGCTTTATGGCGGAAAACTACCCCAATATCCAGAAAAAAGTGCTGTCATGTCACCACGGTTACAGCGACACAACTGGCACTACAGTGGGAAAAAGTGACATGATATAAATGTTTTAGTCTGTGCACAAATGTCTGAGTCTTCTGTCCTGCATGTCTCCCGCCTTCAATTTTAAGTGGGTTGTACCTGTTACATTAATGCAGTTCTGACGGATGTTTTGCCTCCATGTACCATTCACACTAACACCAGAAATGTAATCAGCCTCCATGGCAGAGCATGGTGCAGTTCAGCTGCTCTGTCAGATAGTCTTGTCAATCAACCCTGTCTTCTATGATCCCTTGATAAATGCATAACTGTCAATAATAATGTTCTGAAACCCATTCACACCTTTGTATATCGTGTCAAACACACATCAACATTCATCCACAAACATGACTGTCATCGACCGTTTAGAATTGACGATCCATCCTTACACCAGTACTATATTTACACATACACACTCAACTCTCATATAGCTGCAGTCCCTCTACCGACTTGATAGGGCTGTAATGATCACGGAGCTACTTCCAGCAACTCTGGGCCCTGGTGTACCATGTCATGCATACTGACAGTTATTGTTCCACTGTTGCAAATCAGTGTATGTCAGTAACGAATGGTACTGGGTTCTTTGACATATACATCTTCAACACTTGAATTCAAGGACCCACTAGATATCATATTGAAAGTTATGATAAGATCCCTCGACATTCATGCTAAAGTTTGAACACTGGAAGTAGATACTCATGGTGTGAAAATGAATCATAAATGCCGTCTTTTAGGGTAAGTTAACAAATTGCCAAAACACTGCCCAAACTAGATGCCCAAACTCACAGACTATTACATTTGCCTGTATAATGCTCAGGAGCCCCCTTGAGAACACTGTTTTATGTCTCGTTGGGCACAAGCTGGTATGTTCTTTACCCTAATAACATGTGTATCAATATCCCCATTACACTATCACAGGGCGCATGTTATCATTACAGCCCTAGCACAGTGATGCACCACTCTCACACACCTCTGTCACTCAGTCACACTGACAAATCATACATTAATCTCTGCCAATCATAGTCTTGAGTCGATCTCTGCTGGTGAACAAGACGTAAGCCACAGATAGGGTCAGACCTATTGCCCCTCCACGTGCACACTTCTTCCAGCCCGCTGAAACACAGACACCATATATACCCAGTACCGTACCTTAAACCTCATAGTTTATTCATTAATTTTATTCATATCAATTCACACCAGTATTATTTAATATCTGAAGCTCAGAAAAAAATTACAACATCAAATCTCCACATATTACACACATGTACTCCATAAAAATTTCAAATGTTGACTGCTCATTCATCATTGAAGACATATAATATTGCAAGGCATACATGACATACTCCTGGTAAGACATAATTCCATAGTTAGTGGAATGACCCATATTGTAACCAGTAAAACTAAGTTATCACATGACATATATATCCCAAATCAACATGATATTTCTGGCAAACCACCAGAGATATATATACATTTTCTAGGAAATGTACTGGAACATCAGTTAGCTTTTCCCTACCTGAGCTCTTGTATAGGAAGCCAGTTGCAGTGCCTGCTACTACTGTGTTGAGTTCATCGTCTACACCACGACTAGTTGACAACACAACACCGAATATACTGTACATCAGAGCTGTAACATAGTGAGGTAGAGGTCAAGGTCAGTGTAGGCATGTGTCAAGGTCAGTGTAGCTAGAGGTCAGGGTCAATGTAGATACAGGTCAAAAGTAGTGCAGGAAAAGAGCTAAGGTCAGACATATTGACTGGAGGAATATGTTTAACAAAGTAACACAGGATGAGTTACTTTACTCATAAACAGCACAGTATCAGATAATCTGCCACAATTTCATTTCCAGCTAGCATTATCATAACTGATAGCATTATCATAACACACACCATGACGTAATAGTTCAGTTATTTACCTATAACTCCTAGAGTTTGGGCTGATGAAGCACCTTGTTTTGTGATGAAATTCAGCATTCTGAAAAGACAATGTACATTACCTTTACTACACTGGTCATGACTAAGTTCAGTACTTCCACTGTATATCACCGCACATACAGTGAATCCACATATCATCTTGTACAAACTTTCACAATTTATATACCCCGTCTATAACACGTTGTCTCTAGTAATGGCTTGTAATTTCATTATTGTTTACAATTTTTGCTACTATAGTCTATTGAGATCGCCAGCTGATAAAAAAATGTCAGCTCTTCTTACAAGGTGAACCCTCTTTGAACTCCTCTAATTCTAGGTATTGAAAAAATTATCTAAACTGCAGCGACATTATGTAACGAAATATATTTACATCTCTTGTGGGTCATAATATGTTTCCAAAAAAGAAGATTACAATCTGATATAAGGGGGAAAGTAAAATGGGGTCAACATTGGGCTCATGATTATTGCACTTACATAGCAATGAACATGCATGCATGTGGTGGTTTGTACCAGTTTGGTCCAGAGCCCTGTTTTCAGTGCTAGCCCAATGAGACACCACACTGCAGTTCTACATGAAAACCCTACCCTGACTCAGTTAACTGAATCAGAGGCAACCAAGCCTAAATGCTGAGGACCAAGCATTGTAACAAGAAGTAGCATAGTAACACATACTGGTCTGCCCTCCAGGCAGCCACATTATCTACAAGTCCATGGTCACTAGATATATGAAACAGTCACATACAGCTTTACAGCAAAGTCTCCTGAGAACTACAGAACAAGTGATTGTAAGTGCTCTTCCATGAACATCTCTGAAATCTGAATCTAATCTATCACAGATCACTTTCAGTGAGTTTAATTATCATATGCAGCATTTCAGGAAAACACGAGGCGATGTCTGATGGACACTTATCACTCTGAAATCAACAAGCACAGGTATCATGGGCATGGTGACAAACCTTGGATCATAATCAGGCTGGATGTAGGATTTGAAGCCATGATCACAAGAGAGACACAAGACAAATTGCTGTCCCTTAGAGGATGGGGTGACTGATGCTCTCAACTTTGAACATTTTGCCATTTTGCTGCATGTACTTCAGTTTTATTGTTTAATGCCTCACTCAACAACATAACAGCTAAATGATGGCATCCTGTAAATATCTAGTCTGGGCCCAGCAATCCAGTGATCACAATTGCTCCCTTCTCTGGATCATGCAGACCAACTGTTACATGTGCCCTTCACTAGATCATGCAGACCAGCTGTAACATGTGCCTTTTACTGGTTCATGCAGACCATCTGTAACATGTGCCCTTTACTGGATCATGCAGACCATCTGTGACATGTGGCCTTTATTGGATCATACAGACCATCTGTAATATGTTCCCTTCACTGGATCATGCAGACCATCTGTAACGTGCCCTTCACTGGATCATGCAGACCATCTGTAATGTGTGCCCTTCACTGGATCATGCAGACCATCTGTAACATGTGCCCTTCACTGGATCATGCAGACCATCTGTAACATGTGCCCTTCACTGGATCATGCAGACCATCTGTCATGAGACCATCTGTGACGTGTGCCCTTCACTGGATCATGCAGACCATCTGTAACATGTGCCCTTCACTGGATCATGCAGACCATCTGTAGCGTGTGCCCTTCACTGGATCATGCAGACCATCTCTGACATGTGGCCTTCACTGGATCATGCAGACTAGGGTTGGGTATTGCCAAAATTTTCGTATTGCAATATATTGCGATGCGTGTTGGCGTATTGCAATATGTATTGAAATATATTGTGAAAGTGTAACACATGGGTTAAGGTAATGAAATTACTGTTTCCTTTCTTTTGAAACGATGCAACTGGCCACTGTCAGGACTCAGATGTGTTTGTACAAGAGATCAATTGAAAATATTTCAAAATTGAAGACTTCTAAAGTTTGGAACTTGAGAAAAAGCGTCTGCAGCGGCGTCCGCCATTTTGGTTTGTTTATCCTTACAACGAGTGCCGGTACCCATCTAGGTTTTTTTTATTTAAATGGTTTAAAAGTCAGGCAAATGCAATTATATGACCAATAAACATTCTCAAAACTAGTAACGTAAAATAATATCAAGGAAAATGGTGTTAGTAGTTTTGACTACATGACGAAAATTACCGATCATACCGGGAGAACCGGTTCGCTAAAAGTGTACCGCAATATATCGTATTGTGATGTTCGAATTGCAATATACCGGTTAACCGGTATTATCGCTCACCCCTAATGCAGACCATCTGTAACATGTGCCCTTTACTGGTTCATGCAGACCATCTGTTACATGTGCCCTTTACTGATTCATGCAGACAATCTGTAACATGTGCCCTTTACTGGTTCATGCAGACCATCTGTGACGTGCTCTTTACTGGATCATGCAGACAATCTGTAACATGTGCCCTTTACTGGATCATGCAGACAATCTGTAACATGTGCCCTTTACTGGATCATGTGGACCACCTGTAACATGTGGCCTTTATTGGTTCATGCAGAATTCTGTGACGTGCCCTTCACTGGATCATGCAGACCATCTGTAACATGTGGCCTTTACTGGATCATGCAGACCATCTGTGACGTGCCCTTTACTGGATCATGCAGACCATCTGTAACATGTGCCCTTCACTGGATCATGCAGACCAACTGTAACTTGTGGCCTTTATTGGATCATGCACACCATCTGTAACATGTGGCCTTTATTGGATCATGCAGTCCATCTGTAACGTGTGCCCTTCACTGGATCATGCAGACCATCTGTTATATGTGCCCTTTGGATCATGCAGACCATCTGTTACATGTGCCCTTCACTGGTTCATGCAGACCATCTGTAACATGTGCCCTTTACTGGATCATGCAGACCATCTGTAACATGTGCTCCCTTCACTGGATCTATGCAGACCATCTGTAACGTGCCCTTCACTGGGTCATGCAGACCAACTGTAACTTGTGGCCTTTATTGGATCATGCAGACCATCTGTAACATGTGCCCTTCACTGGATCATGCAGACCAGCTGTAACATGTGCCCTACACTGGTTCATGCAGACCATCTGTAATATGTTCCCTTCACTGGATCTATGCAGACCATCTGTAACATGTGCCCTTTACTGGATCATGCAGACCAACTGTAACTTGTGCCCTTCACTGGATCATGCAGACCAACTGTAACTTGTGTCCTTTATTGGATCATGCAGACCAGCTGTAACATGTGCCCTACACTGGTTCATGCAGACCATCTGTAACATGTGCCCTTCACTGGATCATGCAGACCATCTGTAACATGTTCCCTTCACTGGATCATGCAGACCATCTGTAACATGTGCTCCCTTCACTGGATCTATGCAGACCATCTGTAACAAGTGCCCTTCACTGGATCATGCAGACCAGCTGTAACATGTGCTCCCTTCACTGGATCTATGCAGACCATCTGTAACATGTGCCCTTTACTGGATCATGCAGACCAACTGTAACTTGTGCCCTTCACTGGATCATGCAGACCAACTGTAACTTGTGGCCTTTATTGGATCATGCAGACCAGCTGTAACATGTGCCCTTCACTGGTTCATGCAGACCATCTGTAACATGTGCCCTACACTGGTTCATGCAGACCATCTGTAACATGTGCCCTTCACTGGATCATGCAGACCATCTGTAACATGTTCCCTTCACTGGATCATGCAGACCATCTGTAACATGTGCTCCCTTCCCTAGATCTATGCAGACCATCTGTAACATGTGCCCTTCACTGGATCATGCAGACCAACTGTAACTTGTGCCCTTCACTGGATCATGCAGACCATCTGTGACGTGTGCCCTTTACTGGATCATGCAGACCATCTGTAACATGAGGCCTTTACTGGATCATACAGACCATCTGTAACATGTGGCCTTTACTGGATCATGTAGACCATCTGTGACATGTGCCCTTCACTGGATCATGCAGACCATCTGTAACATGTGCTCCCTTCACTGGTTCATGCAGACCATCTGTTACATGTGGCCCCTCACACAAAATACATAAGTAGGAAGGTGTACTAACTGTGTTCTCCTCACTGCTCCTGTCAGCTGTGCTGCTCGGGTTTCCCGATATCCCGTCAGAACCCCATTCAAACCACCAACTGCTCCACCTAGACAAGACAGAAACAGTACCGGTATGTCAAACTGTTGGACAATCATGGAATTTTCTTGTGTATAAAATTATTTAGTGAATTCGTAAGCTAATCATGTTGATCATGCCAACTCATATATCAAAAATTAATATAAATACATTTGTAGGAGTATAGACCCGGAGCTTATATCACAATATGTGATTTGTGAATGGGTGGTTTTACAACCACTTCTCTCAAATTCAAAATCAAGACAGTTATGATAAATTGGGTCAGAATATGGAATTGATATGAAAAATGTGGTGATAATATTTATCTGCAGAGATGCCAACTCTGAACCTAAGGAAAACATGAGTCATGACTGGCTGAAAACCAGGTTTGAACACCAAAGGTGCGAGTTGGAGGTGAATGCGTGGCCGGCTCTGCCATTTTCTTTCACTTTCATACGGACTATGACATGCATTCGGAAAAACTTTGTGAAACTTCATCATCAATAACACAATCGACACCCAAAGGATCACATGCTAAGCTACTGAATGCATTCACCAGTGTTCACTCAAATACATCACCGGTGACTTACCAAATTGTATACAGTAAAAATAAATTTAGAATTTCTAAAAAAAACAGAGTTTTTTTAAAGAGAAATCGATGAGCAGATATTGTATTTGAAAATCGGAGTGGTTGGCATCTATGCATCTGCCCATACATTAAGCGATGAAGACAGGACAGGAAAAATAGAAGTACATAACACAGTCAGGAAAAATATAATAACATCAGTTGGAAAAGACTTTGATAGGTGCCATTTGTTAAAGGCAGAGGTTACTAAACATATTTATGCAGTACCTGCGAAAACAGAACCACCAATCTGAGAAAACGACAGCTCCAGTCGACCTCGCTGTCTGTTTGCACCTTCTGGGAATATGAAGTCTCCTTCGCCTCCCTAATGTTGAACAAATTCTGTCATAACTAGCCAATGTACAATATTACTCAACATCAAAACAAATCTATTAATTTCATATCATTAATGATGTGGTGACAAATAAATGGATTACACTTCGGTCATGGACCCTAGCCTTGAATATTCATGCCAGTCCATTGCCCGAGACACCTTAAATTGTGCTCAGGACATCATGGACATGTGAAAATCTTATCAAGCTTATGACGATAGTCCATACTGACAGGAAGATTTTGATGGTTATAATATATGCCAGTTCTAAACATAATCAAACTGATGCTTGATAAAGTAAAGGTGAAACAGAGTTTAATAATGATTTTTACCATTAATAGTTGTTCTACTTGATGAACTATTGAATAACCATGATAACCATTAATGTGTCTATGCTTTCACATTTCGAATGTACCTTGAATTAATTAGACAGTTATCTTTTAGGATTAAACACTAAGACTGACTGAGTTTGGTTTTACGCCGCTTTTAGCAATATTCCAGCAATATCACGGCGGGGGACACCAGAAATGGGCTTCACTCATTGTACCCATGTGGGGATTCGAACCCGGGTCTTCGGCATGACGAGCCAACGCTTTAACCACTAGACTACCCCACCGCCTCTTAAACACTAAGAAAAGACAACATATATTATACATACATGAACATGATGAATAATGAGCTTTATACAATATGAGACGTCTCAATATAAGGAAGTAAGCCACTCACCCCGCCAATATACGTTGGGTCTATGTTGAGATATGGTGACATGATGGAACCGGCTGCACCAGCTGTCACTGTCAACATGAACAAAAAGTGATTACAGAACAAGGTCAATACGTCACATCCTTGACTGGCATTTAGAAGTGATTCATATAACCGGGAAACATTTTGTCTGTCAACTTCTTTATAATGAGCAACATCTGAAGGAGTAGGAACATAATCTGAACATTTTGTTTCTTATAACAAAGAAGTTGACATCCATAAACCAGCATCAAACTCAGCAATTTTCCAGCTGTTGGACAGCCTTTTGTAAATAACGACATGCATTAATCAAGTCAGTGAACCTGACCACCTGATCCAATCAGTCACATATTAACTACCAATACTTAGCCTGATCTTCATGGGTAAACATATTTTTAGACATGTTCGATCACCGATGTTGACTCCAGTTGTGTCAAGCACTTGTGAAAACAAAATCGGCTGTGGGCTTAGTTGAAGTAAGTCATCATGAAGCAAGCTCGAAAAGCTGGCAGTCCTTTTGATTGTTTAAATAGACAATGCATAACACCTTCACAAAATCAATTGTGCTACTCAGAAATCAAAGCTTATGCTTATTGTCTTTAGCAAGCCCCAAGTTTCTTCAGAAATGAGCCAAGCACGTTTGTTAATTGGTTGAGTCCACTTGTGAGTAGGGTAGAACCAAAGCAAAGTGTATGGGTACTGAGAAAACATGCATTGATTAAGTGTAGGTGAACTGGGGTGCAGGTGAAATGAGTGTGTACGGGTTATGTGTGTGTGAACCTCACTGAGTCTACTCCTGCCAAACACTATGTTTGACCAGGAAATTAGTATGAGTTACTAATTCCACAACCTCAGAAAATATATAATTCTGAAAGTATATTGGGCTTGGTATGATAAAGTGTTTTGAAACTGGCATGTATAAACAGTTAAACATAAATTTCCAAGACTTTTGTTCAACTCAACTAGATTTTTATGCTCTGCATCACCATTTAAATAGCAGGCCTACCATTCAAACGGTGAACAAATCGTCAAAACTGAACTCGTATACACCAAAACAGAACAAAAACCACCAAAACTGCAACAATATCCTCTAAAACCGAAACAATACATCTGTAATGGAAGACTAATTGTTTGAAATGGAAACAAAACTCGTGTATCAGCTACAAGCGTGCGTGAGAACGGTCACCGAGCGTACAAAACGGCATTCATAGCATCCCAACATGGCAGTCATAGCATCCCGAAACGGCATATAAATCGTCAAAGATGGCGGCGAGGGGAGACGAATAGGCTTTGGTAGGCGTGCTCTTGTAGCTGATACGCGAGTTTTGTTTCCATTTCAAACGATTAGTCTTCCATTACAGATGTATTGTTTCGGTTTTAGAGGATATTGTTGCAGTTTTGGTGGTTTTTTGTTCTGTTTTGGTGTATATGAGTTCAGTTTTGATGATTTGTTCACCGTTTGTATGGTAGGCCTGATTAGGGTGCTATACTTATCCCAATGATGATTGTATCATTTATTATCCCAAACTGCCTTCCACAGGAGATATTGCGAGATCAATTGATATCTGCTGTGTACTGTCGGAAACTGTGTTTTTCACCTTTATCTGTACAATTTATGTCGTTAATATGTGAAAGTATGAAATAGTTGTTAAACTAAGTTCGGCCTAACTACAGTCTCAGTGGTGGGGAGATAGGAAACATAAAAAAGGACTTAACTGAGGAGAGATTAGTGCAGAAATGAGCCATGCATTTTTTTTTCTAAGTCCAAAGCGACTTGGAAGAGACCATGTATATATGCAAACTAGTGTGCGATGATTTTGTATTACAAATGACACTTTTTAAATACTCATTTTGAAATTAAACATAACTTCATTATAAACAATAGCTGACATAAAAAATTATAACTTTGATACTAAAACTATAAAGGTTTTAACATGGAGTCTCACTATCACTATAAAAAGAAACAGGTAGGAGGGGTTGTCTCAAAAGCAAAACCAGGACGGATGTAGCAGACGATGGTTGGGGGCAGAGATATCAGCTAAGATAATCCTTTAGGGAAATTAAACTGGATTTTGTACAATGCCCTGACAATGCTATGACATTATAAACTGATGATGATGTCACAATGCTATGACATCGCTGCACTGCAAGTCTAATGACAGATCCGTGTTCATTTTCATTGAAAACTACAGAAGAGTGATTTTTGATGATAAATAGAATCTCACACTCGTGTCTAATGATATCAAAGATATCAACACTCGTTGATAAAAGTAAAAATATGCTCGACAAGCCTCGGATATTTTAACTTTATCAACGAGTGGTGATATACTTGATATCAAAACAGAAGACACTCGTATAAGATTCTCTATATATTCCTCAGGTACGACTTTCTGATATTCCTCCTTGTGTCTCTTTCAGATAAACTGTCGGGGTTTTAGAACTACACTCAAGGGCAGCAAACGCCTGAATATAGTAACATCTAGATTTCTAAGGTTATCGTCAACTCCTCAACTTGACATAACCAGAACCATGACTGTCTTGTTTATCATACACAGCTAAGCAAATGTCATGGCAATCAACGTTACTCATGAAATGACTTGCATCATGTTCGAAGATTGATAGGTACCCAAAGAACGATTTAATATATTGATCAAAGATATTTACCTGGCACATTCATGCTCGGGTCATTAGAAGAATAGGGAGAAAATATACTGGCTCGTCCTTTTGAGGATCCATTTTGTTATTTAGATCTCAGATATCGTTCTCCTGTTGACATTCACAGGCACATGCAACACGCCGAATGTCTGAGAAGTGCGTCTGCGTGACGACCTTGAGTAAACTGGTCCGCTGCATACTTAACGCTTTCAGTTTCATCTATAGACAAGCACCTAGTCATATTTTCTGTAAGAAATAATAAGCAAAATGGCTTGATAATATTTTGATATTTCAATTATGCTGATCAAATTGATATATCACAAGAATAAATATATAGTTCAAAGGTAATGCGCGAACAATACAATAACTTCCGGTTGACCCAAGGTCACTCCAGAGCACATGGTTTGTCAAAATAACGAAGTAAGAGAAAAATCAGAAAAGAAACTGACAAGCTCTTCTAATCTGTTTGGTTATCCACACTCACAGGTTTGTTCTCGTTTCCCACCCGTCTTTGGGTAACTGCCAATCAGTAAACCTATTTTGGTCAAGATGCTGATGTCATGCAAGTCTAATGACAGATCCGTGTTCATTTTTCATTGAAAACTACAGAAGAGTGATTTTTGATGATAAATAGAATCTCACACTCGTGTCTAATGATATCAAAGATATCAACACTCGTTGATAAAAGTAAAAATATGCTCGACAAGCCTCGGATATTTTAACTTTATCAACGAGTGGTGATATACTTGATATCAAAACAGAAGACACTCGTATAAGATTCTCTATATATTCCTCAGGTACGACTTTCTGATATTCCTCCTTGTGTCTCTTTCAGATAAACTGTCGGGGTTTTAGAACTACACTCAAGGGCAGCAAACGCCTGAATATAGTAACATCTAGATTTCTAAGGTTATCGTCAACTTGATATCCTCAACTTGACATAACTAGAACCATGACTGTCTTGTTTATCATACACAGCTAAGCAAATGTCATGGCAATCAACGTTACTCATGAAATGACTTGCATCATGTTCGAAGATTGATAGGTACCCAAAGAACGATTTAATATATTGATCAAAGATATTTACCTGGCACATTCATGCTCGGGTCATTAGAAGAATAGGGAGAAAATATACTGGCTCGTCCTTTTTGTGGATCCATTTTGTTATTTAGATCTCAGATATCGTTCTCCTGTTGACATTCACAGGCACATGCAACTCGCCGAATGTCTGAGAAGTGCGTCTGCGTGACGACCTTGAGTAAACTGGTCCGCTGCATACTTAACGCTTTTAGTGTCATCTATAGACAAGCACCTAGTCATATTTTCTGTAAGAAATAATAAGCAAAATGGCTTGATAATATTTTGATATTTCAATTATGCTGATCAAATTGATATATCACAAGAATAAATATATAGTTCAAAGGTAATGCGCGAACAATACAATAACTTCCGGTTGACCCAAGGTCACTCCAGAGCACATGGTTTGTCAAAATAACGAAGTAAGAGAAAAATCAGAAAAGAAACTGACAAGCTCTTCTAATCTGTTTGGTTATCCACACTCACAGGTTTGTTCTCGTTTCCCACCCGTCTTTGGGTAACTGCCAATCAGTAAACCTATATTGGTCAAGATGCTGATGTCAGTAATTCGCTTGTTAGTCCAAGACGGATCACAATCTAGTGATATTATTATGATAGTGAGATATATTCCCATTGTTGCTTTCAATGAATAACGCGACATGTTCTGAGAATTTATTCAACCATAACATAATTGATCGTTGCTTAATTTCAATTTCGTGTAATAATTCGTTTTAATTGCACAATTTCAGAAGAACAATTAATTGATATTAACTTCACTGCTTCCAATGATCCTGAAGTGAAGACAGAGATTACAGTGTTTGCTGTGAGCAAGACTGTTGATGAGAAAACAGCAGGAAGGCACCCATTGCAAGAGCATGGATGAGATTCCAGTAGAGGGCATGAAACATGCTGGACCAGACAGTGTAGTTTCAGAAAATGGTGAGACGAATGATACATGTCCTACTGATGCCAATCTTGAAAATGTAGTTAGACAGAAGAATGACGTCAACATGGATAGCAAAGCAGATGTAACATGTGACTCTGGAAAATCAAGCCTGAAAGAGGAACATGAAACAAACAAAGAGGAAAAGAAAGAAGATAAAATGGAAAGAGAGGAGACAACAACAGAGACAATTATCAAAGTGGGTGGGTCACATGAAACAAATACGGAAGAAAATGGGAAAATGGATACAGAAGCAATGACAACCTCAGAGACAATTCAGACAGAAGAAGAAATAATGGATGTCAACTTCACTGCCTCCAATTATCCTGAAGCGAAGACAGAGATTACAATGTCTGCTGTGAGCAAGACTATTGATAAGAAAACAGAGCAGGAAGGCAAAAATTGCAAGAGCATGGATGAGATTCCAGTAGAAGGCATGAAACATGCTGGACCAGACAGTGTAGTTTCAGAAAATGGTGAGACAAAAGATACATGTCCTACTGATTCCAATCTTGATAAGGTAGCTACACAGAAGAAAGACGTCAGCAAAGTTAATGTAACATGTGACTCTGGAAAGTCCAGCCTGAAAGAGGAAGATGAGACAATTAAAGAGGAAAAGAAAGAAGATGCCAAAATGGAGACCGAGACAATAACAACAACAGAGACAATTAGTAAAGATGACAAGCCACATAAGACAAAACCTGTGTCGATGGCCTACCGTGGTGATGGGGATTCCAGCAGTGATGAGGCTGACTCCAGCGAGGATAGTGACAGCAGCATTTCCACAACATCTGGCTCAGACCTGGAGGAGCCCAAACCTGAAACTGTGTCAGACAGGTACAAACCATTTGAAAAGTTAAAGGTGTAGACAAAAGTAGGAATAATGAAGGATATGTTATAATATATAACCTGATGAGGAAATATTTGGTCTACTTGTACCATGTCTACCAATGTGTACATAGTTATTTCTTTCAAAAACATTCTTCGCTCTCCTGACTTAAGGGAAAGTGAGTTTATGTCTTGAACTCTCAGTTGTTAATTTTTTTCATTTGACATCTTTAAACTGCAAGGCCATGGAGCTGAAACTTTCTAATAATCCCAGTTTTGCTGTCTCTGAATTTTAAAATGGCCACCAGAATTTCTTCTTAATTCATAATTTTCAGAGCCTGACAATAAAGTATGTCAGATTCAACAGTGAACATGCTAAATCACCATGAACACACAAGATTAGCAATTAGTAATTGTCTTGTGAACCAATCATTTACTGATCAGTCAGATTATATGAGAGCAGAATGTCATAAAAACAAGTACCTTGGCTTGAGTTATTGAACAGTCTCAATACAGCTTTATTTATCTCGCTGGACATAAGATAGATATATTCAAGGTGTCATGTAGTTACAAAGCAGAAGGATATCAACTTAGATAGCCAAGTAGATGTAATATTTGACTCTGGAAAGTCCAGCCTGAAAGAGGAAGATGAGACAAATAAAGAGGGTATGTCTTTGGGCCCATACTTGTACTGCATTTCAATTCCAACCTTTGATCAACAGGGAAGAAGAGGAAGAGGAAAAACCGGGGAAGAAGAAGAAAGCTTTTGATGGTATCCGAACACGAGGGGAACTCTACCCAGAGGTGATGTTACAAAAATCCTGACCCTGATTTCATTTGTTTTCATCACGTCTACAATGACAATTGTGTCATTGGTATAGCATGTGTGTCCATAACTAACACCAAGACCATATTTCCTGAAAGTCAATTATGACTGGGGCTGTTTTGTTGCAGGAGTTACCCCCCCTGGAAGAACTGAAAATTTCTGTTGATGAAACTGTGGAGATGCAAGAAATTGGAAAGGTTTCTGGAATTGTTGGCATTCTAGGTCAGTGGATTTGAGAGTGGAACATTTTTGTATATTTTTGTTTTCATTTGGAAACAGTCCAGATAACAATTGTCACATCTGTGCAAGGAAATAGGGTCATTAATCATTGTATTGTACCTGATCAATATAATCAGCTATTGATTACCCTTTTAATGAAGATTCTTATGTTATGTTGCTATCAGTCATCATTCAAGCCAGCAAGAACATGCCTGCCCTGGACGAGGAGACGGTGCTGTTCAACGAAAACAGGGAAGCGCTTGGGAAGGTGAGAACAGGATATGCCCACGGATGCCAGGTTATTTATGGGTTGATTTTTCTGAATTTTATAATTACATGACCTGTTTATTTCTAATTAAGAAGTGGAGAACAGGTGCCAACATATCTTGAGCACAGTTCTTTGTGCAGATCCTTTACACTGAGATGTGGATGATCTTATGGCCTTTAGATGTGTGGATGATCTTATGGCCCTTAGATGTGTGGATGATCTTATGGCCTTTAGATGTGTGGATGATCTTATTGTCCTTAGATGTGTGGATGATCATATGGCCTTACATGTGTGGATGATCTTATTGTCCTTAGATGTGTGGATGATCATATGGCCTTTAGATGTGTGGATGATCATATGGCCTTTAGATGTGTGGATGATCTTATGGCCTTAGATGTGTGGATGATCTTATGGCCTTAGATGTGTGATGATCTTATGGCCCTTAGTGTACATGTTCCTGTGACTTCCATATGCATGGTCCTATGACCCTAAGGTATGCTCAATCTTATGACTTGTAAGTGTGCAGGATCCCAGAGGCCCAGATAAGCTGCGTATCCGGATGATCATATGGCCTAAAATGTGTGCATATAAAATTTCCAATTAAGAATGAAAAATAATTGTTGTTTACCAATTACGCATTTAAAATGTTAGATACGCAAAACGTTTAAAACAAATGCGTACAGAATATATTTATAAAAATCGCTTGCGTAATGAAAAAGACATCGATTGCTATCAAGTTGTACTGTTAGTATAGGACAAGTGTTGTACTGTCAGTATAGGATGAGTGATTTTTTATGAAATCATTTCCATTATATTTAAGTTGGTTTTGATTAGGTATGACATAAGGCAGAACATACCTGCTTAGTAAACTTACTCAGTCACATAATACTTAGGTGAGTAAAATGACTGAAATACGCATGACATATTTGAAAGCAGTGGGTAACGGAAAATGAAATACCCACTCAACATTCATAATATCCACTCCAAAAAACTACAGCGGGTACAGTACCCACATGAGCTAAATCTTATCTGGAGCTCTGAGGATCCTATGGCCCTTAGATGTGTATGATTCAATGACCCACATGTTGACTGACACAGCTGATTTTTAAAACTTTTTGATGTGATATTTTATGTTTGTGTTTCAGATATTTGAAGTATTTGGTACTGTAGCTTCTCCATTCTACTCTGTGCGATTTAACAGCCTAGACGACATCACTGACAAGAACATTGTCATAGGGTTGAGCATCTACTGTGCACCCAAAGAACAGGAGTACACCCAGTTTGTGTTTGTGGAGCAGCTGAAGAGGTGGGTTGATTAGCATTTGGAATGAGTGAATGAGTATGTTTAGTTTTATGCCGCACTCAGCAATATTCCAGCTATATGGCGGTGGTCTGTAAAAAATAAAGTCTGGACCAGACAATCCATTGATCAACAGCATGAACATCGATCTTCGCAATTGGGAACCAATGACATGTGTCAACCAAGTCAGTGAGCGCGACCACCCGATCCCGTTAGTAGCCTCTTACGACAAGCATGGGTTACAGAAGATCAATATCCTAACCCAGACCTTCACGTGGCCATTTGGAATGAACTCTTTCATTAAAGGATTTAACATAGATAATGATTTTTGCATATGCATAACACTTCATTCATAAAAGTTAGTAAAAAAGAATTGTACTTTTCAAAACACTGTGCACCTTTACCAGCACAGATGCAGATTCCGAGAATATATAAAGCCAATCATGTGGCTGTTTTGACATACTAGTTTGTCGATACCAACAGAGGAAGGGGAGTGCCATCATTGAGGAACAGAATAGTCTTTATACTTTATATAAGGAAACAAGAGAGATGTTGCTCTAGAAACACAACCTATTCAGTTTGAACCACCTTTTGAAAGTGGAAATAATGGAACTGATAATGATGAGTCCTGCAGCTGAAGAGAACAGAACAGAAATTGTATTCTAAAAAATCACATATAGTGACGCAGAGAGCATACAGCATATTGATACATATTAAAACATTGATACATTTGGCAACTTTAGAGTTAAGTGGTGAATTATCACATTTCATGGGATAAACAAATTTTTCGATATTAGGATGTTTACAGAAATATTGGGGTAGAAAATGATGTCTAAGGGCATTTAGTGCTGGACAGTATAAGAAAATGTGAAGTTCATCACAGACAGATGATCTGCAAAGTTGGCAGATTCTATTACATCGTTCAATGCCGTACCAATGTCCTGTTTCAATTGGCAACCTGTGGTTTGAAGTTCTAAATTTAATTAACCAGTGTCTATAGTAATAAGATAATTGTAACAAATAGAGTTCTAAAAATAGTGAATGCTTATACATTATACTGGTATATGATGAAGCAACAGCAGAGTGCCACCATAACTGCTTAAACTCATCAACGAGAATTAATTGTACGTAATTTGTAAGCCAAACAATGCTAGGTACAGATTGGGTGAGCCAATCAATACAATCCAGTATCCTGTAGGATACATTTGACACTTCAAAATAATGGAAACTTTAAATCAGCATTTGAAGACTATAAATTGTACATGACATTATAAAATATGGTATTTAATTTGCCATTACAACATAACATTTTAGCCCAGTTTGATATTATTCTAACTTTTACGGATATACTGATGGGGTATCTACCTAATTCACCATAATTCATAAAATCTGGAGTTGATTGCTTCACATTCAAAATATATTTACATAATGTAAGATGGACATGTTTGATGATGGTAACATTTTCACACCCCCCCACTTCGGCGCTATAGAGAAGGATTGGTTTAACAAGATTATCAAACAATTTCAATTGGCAGTTTATTGGAACATCAAATTGATGAATGTTTTTGAAGATAACAAACATTGCCTTATTAGCTTGTACAAAAAGGTGTTTGATTGCTCCAACGATCCGACCATTACCAGTGAAAAGTACACCAAGATACAGATATTCATTTGAAATGTCAGTAGGTGTCCTATTTAACGTAAAATTGTATTTCTCCTTTAGAAAATATAACCTTTTTTTTCTAAATTCACACTAAGTTTCCATTTTTTACAATATTGGTCAATTACATTCAAAGATTTTTGCAATCCATCACATGTTTCAGCTTATATGACAGTATTGTCAGCATAAAGTAATAACAATTTCATAAAGATACCAAGCTGGTCCTCAATTAGCTTATTTACATGTTCGAGGCCAGTAGCATCATGTTCATAAAGAAAACACTCAAGATCATTTTTATACAAAGCAAAAAGGAAGGGAGATAGATTTTCACCCTGTCTAACCCCAATCTTACATGGGAAGGCATTAGTTACTACAACATCCATATGCTCATACATATTCTTTATGATACATAAACATTTTTCATCGATATTACTGTGAATTAATTTATACCAAAGGCCACTTCTCCAAACAGAATCAAAAGCTTTACTAAAGTCAACAAAAACACAAAACAGTTTCTCTTTTAAATTTTGATAAATGTCAATTTATGATTTCAGAACATAAAATTGATCCATTGTAGAATATTTATTTCTGAAGCTGGCTTGTGCCTTACTCATTAAATCAATTTTGTGTGAATACTTTAGCAATTGTGCACTTAAAAGGGTTTAGCTTTCCTAAACAACTTTATAAAGAGATTCAGCAGGGTCCCCCTTGTTTTTATATAAATTGGCTTTATTTAATCTACTAGCCAAGCTTCAGGCATTACACCATTGTTAAAAACAATTGAAAAGCTTTACATACACAGGCATTAAAACATGGGTGGTTGCCTTAATAAACTCCTTATATATGGTATCTACACCACAAGCTTTATTATTGCATAACTTGCTTGCAGCTGAGAAGATTTCTTCTTCAGTTATGTCACAGTCAAGTTCTTCATTAGCAGGCAAATCACTCACATCCAAGCTAACACTGTCATCAAACTCACACTCATTCAACTCTTTAAAATATTATATAACTTATTAACATCAATTGAAGGCTTTTCGGGCTTCGTGTTAAAAGATTTTAATTAAAATTTTCAATTTTGTGTCACATGACCAACAATTTTTTATGTATGGAGCTTCATAATGATTGGTCACGTGTATTTCTGTCTAGAATAATTCCTATTCATGTGAATAAACCTTCTTACAAGTAATTTTTGTAAAGTTTTCACCTTTCACTAAGTTTTTTTGTCCCCTGCCGCAACGCGGAATGGGGGACTATGTATTCAGCGGCGTCCGTACGTCCCCATTCTTGTTAACGCGATATCTCATGAACTGTTGTATCCAATGTCTTCAAATTTGGTGACAGCCTACATTAGGGGATTACGCAGACACCAGTCGATTTGGGTGACCTTGACCTTATTTTCAAGGTCACGACACTTTGACCACTTTTCAAACTGTTGTTAACGTGATATTTCATGCACTGTAGTATCTAATATCTTCAAATTTGGTGACAGTCTACATTAGGGGATTATGCAGACACCAGTTTATTTGGGTGACCTTGACCTTATGTTCAAGGTCACCACGACTCTTCGACCTCTTTTCTAACTCTTGTTAACGCGATATCTCATGGACTGTTGTACCCAGTGTCTTCAAATTTGGTGACAGTTTACATTGGGGTATTACACAGACACCAGTTTATTTGGGTGACCTTGACCTTATCTTCAAGGTCACCACAGCACTTTGACCGCTTCTTAAACGCGATGTCTCATAAAACATTGCACCTAATGTTTTCAAGTATGCTGAGAGCCTACATTGGATGATTATGCAGACACCAGTCATTTCAGGCATCTTGTATGTGACTAAAAAATAAAAAAGTAGTAAATGTAGATATTCCATTCTTTAGCGGCGGGGGACATTGCCATATCAGTGGTAAACACTTGTTTTTTAAGTAGTACACTTTTTAGGTCCAAATTACACTTTTTTGACCTCCAGTATTACACTTAGGCCCAAAATAGGGTTGGCATCTCTGTAGGTGTCAATAAAACAGACATTGAGTTTTGTCTGTGACAAAGACATATCTATATCACAGTTAGAAATTCTGTCAATGCTAAATAATGACATTGCTTTTAAGTATCGAACTGAGAAAGTGACTCGGTAAGAAGAACGTGTGGTGAAATAGACAAATGAAATTATATAAACAGTTAAATCGGTAATCTACTGTCATAACATATAAAAAAGCTCGCGCCTGTGAAATATCAACAAAACATCAGAGAAATATCACATCAAAGCCTTCACCGAGTACTCTGCACCAGCGAAGGTTTTCCGTCTTGAAATGTCGAACGCCTCACTGGTTGACACATAGCTGAGTAGATCTAGATCCTAACAAGGTTCTTTTATGTAGAGTATTTTCTATTTGTTTTGATTAGACTACTCTTGCTCATGACCTTATAATCTGGACATCCCACTTCCAAGCTGTGCGAACCTATTCACTGCGCATGCGCTATGAGCGCAGTACAGCACAGCACAGCTGTTGAAACCACTTTTCACCCCAAGTGCTGGGGTGAATTTAGTGGATCGTTTGCGCTCCCAATTTCACGGGGTGTGGGGGTGTTTCATCGCCTTATTTTTCAACTTTATAAGATGATTTTTCATTTTTGATGATTTGTATCTGTAAGTCCATACCGAAAGGTATCGGAATCTGCAAAGTTGTGTTTTACGTTGCATGTGACCTTTAAGCAATCCATATCTTTTTCCAGTGAAATTGGGGAGGGCGATGGGGTAGCCTAGTGGTTAAAGCATTTGCTCGTCATGGCCTGGGTTTGATTCCCCACATGGGTACAATGTGTGAAGCCCATTTCTGGTGTCCCTCGCCGTGATATTGCTGGAATGTTGCTAAAATAGGTGTAAAACTAAACTCACTCACTCACTCCAGGGAAATTGAACTGCTTTGAAAATTCATGAAAATATACCCATGTGTTGTCTACAGAAGTTGATGTCTATATCCTTGAACTGTTTCATGACATGTATTGCACATGCAGGGGTGTAGCCATGTGCTGCATGTTGTTGGGGTAGCCAGTTCCATCACCCTCAATGTTGCTCTTTCGTAGCCTTTGATAGTGGCTGTCCATTTTTCCATCAGGCAACTAATCTGTGTGAAAGAGGTGTATGCAACTGGTATCACATTTTCAACATGCTCAAACCTATAGACATTTGTTGGCGTATATTCTATTTGACGAGATAGGTGAGGTGAGGTGAGGTGAAATTGGGTTTAACGTCGTGCTTGAGAATTTTTCGCTCATATGACGACGTGTGTATGTGTAGGTGCAGCTGCTTCTACTAGCCCAGACAGAAGCTGGTTTTATAGTGCTAGCCCACTGAGATACCATGCCGCAGTGAAGCATGAATACCCCACTCGGACACATTATACTGACTCCGAGCCGACCAGTCCTTGTTGTACCCATTAATGCCGAACGCCAGGCAGGGACCAACAAGTACCATATTTTAACATATTTTGGTATGACGCGGTCGGGGATCGAATCCGCGACCTTCCGCTCTCCGGGCGGACGCTCTAATTACTACACCACGGAGGCGGTCCGACGAGATAGATGCCTAAGTGAACATTGAATAATAACGTTGAGTGTAATATTGTTTAGACGTCAATTCAAACAACCACTATACTTATGTTTCTTAGAATCAAAGGATCTGATGCATCATGGGAAAACAACAATGAGCCACCATCTTGGGTAAGTCCTTATATTAGTAGCTAGGGTGATAGTTGCATATATCAGATTTAGCGTTCATATACAGTATGCACAAACAGGTATTGTAACCACTTGTGTGGATGTTGGTTGGTTGTTTAAAGCTGCACACAGCAATATTCCACGTTTATGGTGGCGGTCTGTAAATAATTGAGTCTGGACCAGACAGTCCAGTGATCAACAGCATGAGCATCCATCTACGCAATTGGGAACAATGATGTGTCTCAACCAAATCAGCAAGCCTTACTACCAGATCTCGTTAGTAGCCTCTTATGATAAGCATGGGTTACTGAAGACCAGTTTTAACCCAGATCTTCATGGGTCTTGACTACTATGATTTACAAAGGTTTCAAACCTTTTGTCTCTGTGAAACTGTTGTCACAAATAAGACAAATTGTATGATCTGTGATTGTTTGCTAGAAAATGTGCATGTTGTGATCTATCAATAATATTGATGGTTATATATTTGTCTATTCTTCTGTATAGTGCATGGAGTTTTCTGATGATGAAGATGAGAAGAGGATGAAGTCCAAGAATCGGAACAAAACAGCTCCCAAGGAGAGCAATGCCGATGATGAGTCGGCCAATAAAAAGCCTCGTAACAATAGGAAGAAGAAGATGAGGTGACGATGAAGGACATTGCTAGTAGATGAAGAATTAGAGGATAACAATTTGCTTGTGTGTTTCTGGCTGATGGGGGTGTAGTCTAGTGATTAAAGCGTTTGCTCATCACTCTGAATTCCTGGGTTCGATTCCCCACATAGGTACAATGTGTGAAGCCAATTTCTAGTGTCTCCCGCCCTGATATTGCTGGAATATTGTTAAAAGCAACGTAAAACTAAACTCGCTCACTCTTGCTGTAGGGGCCACTTGTGGCCTAGTAGTCTTAGGCGAATGAACAACCTGAAACGAACTACAAGTGACACAAGTAATGAATAATTTTGACTTCATAAGTTGCAGCGCATATTTTAAGTTAATCATCAGCATACAACAATTACAAGGTCCACATTCTGGTTTTCTGCATGCTTACTTGAACTGTGACGTGACAAGCTGATGACGTCATGTAACATGACAAGACATGATGTCATGTCTGTTTCAGCTGAATTACATGGATTTTTACATGATAGCACGTGGCGAATTACACTGGTCAGCTTCTTCAAGTAATGACAGTAGTAAATGCAGGTTGTTCTAGCACAATGATGACTGAAATGTATTGTTTAGAAGCATTCATGTTTGTTTTATGTTTCAGGGGCGAAGGTGGAAATGGAACTACTCAAGGTAACAGGAATTACAAATATTTGTCTGGGTTTTTTTTGTTTAAAAAAGATTTTCAAATATAGATGAACAGAAGTGATAGAAATCAGTTGTCTTATTGTCATTGGTCACGATGTGTGGTAATTTGTTTTTGTCTGACATGATGTTGGGATACAGAATATGAGAATATAAATTACACACAATGTTTTTGTTGAACAGACTCCACTCGTGGACACTCCAAGATGTCCAATCAGAGAGGAGGCAGGGGAGGACATAGTTGGCCGCCAAAGCAGACTGACAGCTGGCCTCCTAATGACGGTAGTAACTGGCCTCCAAAACCACAGGAAACATGGATGTCTTCTCAAAATGATGAATGGCAACCACAGATGAGACAATACGGGTCAAGAGGTCATTCTTCCCGACCTTTCATATCGCCACCTAATTTTCAGGGAGGCAGAGGAGGTAACAGACAGTCTGGTGGGCCTCGCTTTACTGCTCAGTTCCAGAATCAACCGAGGGGACCTCCTTTTGGTGGTCATCAAGGTCAGCACATAGATCACCAAGGTCATCTGTCAAATCATGGTTTCCAAAGCCACAACTTCAGAGGTGGTCCATTTCATGGTCATTCAGATGGTTTCTCACAAGGACATAGTGGGTTTAATAATCCTATAGTTGATACAAGACTGATGCAGAACTCGGATCAAGGTGAAGGACCATTCACCATGATCAGACCACCAAACTCAAGATCAACATTTGGAGGACAACCACATTTTACTGCTGGTCCAATGGGTGGTGGCTACCCTCAGAGGCCATCAGGGCCAGGGGTTACAAGGTTCACTGGAGCACCCGCGGGGAGGTGGTAGAGCTGGTCTAATGATCTGCAGGAGGTGACTTCAGGGGCTATTGGGGCAGCAAGGTTCACCTGGGCAGCCCCGGGGAGGTGGTAGAGCTGGTGTGATGTGCAACAGGTGACTTCAGAGGCAGTCGGGGCAGCAAGGTTCACCTGGGCAGCCCCGGGGAGGTGGTAGAGCTGGTGTGATGTGCAACAGGTGACTTCAGCGGCAGTCGGGGCAGCAAGGTTCACCTGGGCAGCCCCGGGGTGCTGGTAGAGCTGGTGTGATGTGCAACAGGTGACTTCAGAGGCAGTCGGGGCAGCAAGGTTCACCTGGGCACCCCCAGGGGTGGTGGTAGAGCTCGTGTGATGAGCTGAAGCGGGTGACTTCAAGGGCTACCGGGGCAGCAAGGCTCAGACAAGCACCTGTGGTCAGGTGGTAGAGCTGGTCTGATGAATGACTAGTACTCTGTGGCCATCAGATTCAGCAGTCAACATTGCAGGAATCACAGAGTTCTTCTTTAAACTGTCATGGCCGGTATTTGTAGACCCACAAGTCTGGTAACACTGGTTCCTTGTTTACTAGTGTATATCACATATGTTGCATATGACTTCCGAATATCCTTTTGGTTCCATTCATAAATATTACAATATTTACCAAATATAATATGCCCTGACAGAAACTACTGATCAGGCTGTCACATGCAGTTTTGGATCAGTATTTTATGGTAGTTTCTTGATGTTAATGTGCAATTTTGTTTATGTTTATGTGTATACTTTGATATAGGTTTAAGGTTTAATCATATTAAACAATTGAAATACAAGCGGGGTCATTTTTCTACTTTTGCTCATCACCCTTTTGCTCAAAAAATAATTTTGTTCCATGGGGATATATTACATCTGTATCCTTGTTACTTGTATGTCTGGGTCTAAAGAATAATGTTGAAGTGATAACCTGAATCTTGGTGATTTTAACATTTCTCTGTTTAACATGCAATTATGCTTTTGTACCCCATTATAACTAAGTTTCAGTTTGGCTTGAACGTTTTTGATCATAGATTCAAGTGCCAGATCGTCCTATTTATGTTTCTAGTATTTTCAGTGACATTCCTATGTCAGTCCATTTCAGCATCCCATTTTCCTCAAGCCATGATGTAACAGAAGTACTGTACAAATCAGTGTTAAACCTAACTCGCTAACTCCATGTGGCAGTTTTAAAGAGAAGCAGTGAATAGAGTAACAGGGAAATACATCTTTCCCCAATTTGCAGTATTTTAATGTCATGAAGTGCTAAGTTTGTGTGTAAATAAACGTTATTTACAAGAGTTACACTAACCTTTTCATCTAAAGTATATGTCTTGTTCAAGGAAATTTGGTTAAAAATGGTTTGAAATTGAATTCAGGGAAGGCCATAGCAGGAACACAGGACTTAGCTGGGACATGTTCCGCTTGTGTAGTGGTTTATTAACATCTGACAATGCAAAATACCTTATCAACCTCGTGTTTTGTTTTGTATGTGTTTCACAAGAGAATTTGTATTTCAAACTGAATTTGTATTTGTCACAATGAACAGTTGTCCCACTGTCCATGTCACTACCTGACTGTCCACAGCACCAACTATAATGGCTGCTCTTTAAGAATTGCACCAATAGTCGTCTCAACATCTCAGTTTAAACCAGTTGAACTGAGTATCGAGGAATAGCGATTTGATATTTCTAGCTCAATCCCTTTGAAGAAAACACACTTGGGTGGAGTAAAGATTATCTTGTAGATGTGGCCATTTCCATTCAGGCTGTTGGGTTTTCATTCGGATTGCTATAGAAATAAAAATTACACACAACAAATATAGGCCAATCTCTTTAAACGACCAGACCCGTAAAGGTCCGGGTTAGAATTGATCTTCAGTAACCCATGCTTGTCATAAGAGGCAACGGGTGTTCAGGCTCGCTGACTAGGTTGACATGTCATCTGCAGTTGCTGAGATCGATCCTCATGCTGTTGATCACTGGATTGTCTAGTCCAGACTCGATCGATTATTTACAGACCTCCGCCATATAGCTGGAATATTGCCGAGTGCCGCGTAAAACTAAACTCACTCACTCACTCACTTTAAACAACCATGCAAGGTCAAGTAAAACTATTGTTTTATTACTTGGATGAATCTTTTAATGAATTGAGTGTAACATAAACGAAGCATCAACTTGACCCACAAGTGTGTCTACCTGTAGTCTTTTCCAAGCCCAAGTAAGACTTACATGCTAGTTACAGAGGATGAAAAAAGATAAGAGCGTTCACCTCTCTGAGCGTGACACCAGTCTAAATTGAAGAGTTCTGGGCTCAAACCTCTGCCAGTAGAAATGTATACGTTCCTGTAGAAATCAATACACAGTCATATGCTTGAATACACCACCTAGCCAGGACGGAGGGTAATCAGGAGTTAGAAAGATGTATGCCTGTGTTCACCGGCCCCCCTTTGACAGTCCTGAATGACTAGAAGTGAGGTGAAATGGGGTTAACGTCGTGCTTGAGAATATTTCGTTCATATGACGACATGCATGCCTATGTATGTGTATGCGCAGCTGCTTGTACTAGCCCAGACTGAAACTGGTTTTATAGTGCTAGCCCACTGAGATACCATGCCGCAGTGAAGCATTAATACCCCAATCAGACACATTATACTGACTCCGAGCCGACCAGTCCTTGTTGTACCCATTAATGCCGAGCGCCAGGCAAGGACCAACAAGTAGGTCTTTTGGTATGACGTGGTCGGGAATCGAACCCGCGACCTTCCGCTCTCCGGGCGGACGCTCTAACCACTACACCACAGAGGCGGTCCTGAATTACTAGATACATGCATCATAAGGTTGTGCAATCATAAACGTTCAGGTAGAACTATATAACTTGTCGACATTGTTCAACGTTATCAAAATAGGAATGAAATGATTTGTGAAAGAAAGATCGACTGCTTTGCGTGTACCGAACGCTCATCCCGATCTAGTCATTACCTGCTTTTGAAGAAGTTCCAGAAAGGAACGCCGTCTCACAAGGCTGCCGGCCGGCCGTCATCACTGTACACAGGCGTATTATCTGTGACGTCAGCCCATTGTTGATGAACTTTGTCTATGATGTCAGCAGAGGTTGGACCACAATGAGTAGTGACGTTGCCTCTGACGTCAGTTCATTGATGATGTAATTCGCTTGTTATGACAGAAGAGTACGCAACAATGAACAGTGACGTTGCCCCATTGTCGACGTCACTGATACCTGTATGGTAACCGCCGCAATCTGTTCAGGTCGATTTGGAACTTCTGGTTTGACCTTTTGAGGTGTCTGTTCGTTAGTTGGGTTTGTGATCCAGTAGATGTCTCTGTTGAGACCCATTTCTATTCATTCTGTTATCTTTTCGTTCGGATTACTATGGAAGTACAAATTACACTCAAAAGCATGGATCAGTCCCTGGAAACGGCCTTGCAAGGGCAAGTAAAACCCTTGTTTATATATTACTTGGATGACTCTTGGGTTGAACTGGGTATCTAGAAATAGCGACCTAATATTTCTAGATCAGTTCCTTTAAAAGCACACACTTGTATGGTGTAAGGGTCATCTTGAAGATATAGCGACAGTAACTACAAATAGCATCCATTAACTATCAGCATTCAGTTATGTACTAAAAACACAAACGATGCATCTACCTGCAGCCTTTCCCAAGCACGAAGACTCACATGCTAGTTACACGCTGAGCGTGACACCAGTCTAAACGGAAGGGTTCAGGGCGCAAATTTGTGCCAGTAGACATGTACACGTTTCTATTGAAATGATTACACAATCATATGCTTGAATACACCACCCAGAAAGGTCGTGGATAAACAGGAGTTAGAAAGACGTATGCCTGTGTCCAGCGGCCGTCCCTTGACAATCATGAATGACAAGAAACATCCACACGATAAAAAAGCTAATGCAATTAACATATTCACAAGATACTATGTACTTTCATACACGTGAAGTACAGTACACAATCATATCCTTAAATACACCACCCAGTCAGGTCGGAGGGTAATCAGGAGTTAGAAAGACATAACCATGTGTTCTGAGGTCGCACTTTGACAATCCTGAATGACTAGAAACATCAAATACGATAAAAAAAAAGCTTGTGCAATTAATGTATTCACAAGCTACTATGTACTTCCACGCACATGCACAATGGCCAACAATTTGTCAAGGACACGTTTGATGTAAAGCGTATGTGTCGGATATTAATTAACGTTCTACACAGGCATCTGGCTGTTCTGTGTACAGATAGAACTGTATGACATGTTGACATTGTTCCAAGTTATTAAAATAGGAATGAAATCATTTGTGAAAGAAAGAAAGAACAAGGCGGGGCTGCTTTCCCTGTGCCCAACGCTCATCCCGATCTAGTCGTTACCTGCTCTTGAAGGAGCTCCCGAAAGGAACACGTCGGCCGTCCTTACTGCACACAGACACATTGTCTGTGACGTCAACCCATTGTTGATGAACTTTGTCTATGATGTCAGCAGAGGTTGGACCACAATGAGTAGTGACGTTGTCTCTGACGTCAGTTCATTGATGATGTAATTCGCTTTTGATGTCAGAAGAGTACGGAACACAATGAACAGTGACGTTGTCCCATTGTCGACGTCACTGATACCTGTATGGTAATGGCCGGAATCAGTTTCAGGTCGTTTTGGAACTTCTGATTTGAGCTTTTGAGGTCTTTGTTCTTTAGTTGGGTCTGTGATCGAGCAGACATCTCAGTTAAGACCCATTTCCATGCTGTCTGTTATCTTTTCGTTTGGATTACTATGGAAGTACAAATTACACTCAAAAGCATGGATCAGTCCCTGGAAACGGCCTTGCAAGGGCAAGTAAAACCCTTGTTTATATATTACTTGGATGACTCTTGGGTTGAACTGGGTATCTAGAAATAGCGACCTAATATTTCTAGATTAGTTCCTTTAAAAAACACACACACTTGTATGGTGTAAGGGTCATCTTGAAGATATAGCGACAGTAACTACAAATAGCCTCCACTAACTATCAGCATTCAGTTATGTACTAAAAACACAAACGATGCATCTACCTGCAGCCTTTCCCAAGCACGAAGACTCACATGCTAGTTACACGCTGAGCGTGACACCAGTCTAAATGGAACGGTTCTGGGCCCAAATTTCAGCCAGTAGACATGTACACGTTTCTGTTGAAATCATTACACAATCATATGCTTGAATACACCACCCAGTCAGGTCGTGGATAAACAGGAGTTAGAAAGACGTATGCCTGTGTTCAGCAGCCGTCCCTTGACAATCATGAATGACAAGAAACATCCACACGATAAAAAAGCTAATGCAATTAACATATTCACAAGATACTAAGTACTTTCATACACGTGAAGTACAGTACACAATCATATGCTTAAATACACCACCCAGTCAGGTCGGAGGGTAATTGGGATATAGAAAGACATAACCATGTGTTCTGAGGTCGCACTTTGACAATCCTGAATGACTAGAAACATCAAATACTAAAAGAAAAGCTTGTGCAATTAATGTATTCACAAGCTACTATGTACTTCCACGCACATGCACAATGGCCAACAATTTGTCAAGGACACGTTTGATGTAAAGCGTATGTGTCGGATATTAATTAAAGTTCTACACAGGCACTGGCTGTTCTGTGTACAGATAGAACTGTATGACATGTTGACATTGTTCCAAGTTATTAAAATAGGAATGAAATCATTTGTGAAAGAAAGAAAGAACAAGGCGGGGCTGCTTTCCCTGTGCCCAACGCTCATCCCGATCTAGTCATTACCTGCTCTTAAAGGAGCTCCCGAAAGGAACACGTCGGCCGTCCTTACTGCACACAGACACATTGTCTGTGACGTCAACCCATTGTTGATGAACTTTGTCTATGATGTCAGCAGAGGTTGGACCACAATGAGTAGTGACGTTGTCTCTGACGTCAGTTCATTGATGATGTAATTCGCTTGTGATGTCAGAAGAGTAAGGAACACAATGAACAGTGACGTTGTCCCATTGTCGACGTCACTGATACCTGTATGGTAACGGCCGGAATTAGTTTCAGGTCGTTTTGGAACTTCTGATTTGAGCTTTTGAGGTCTTTGTTCTTTAGTTAGGCCTGTGATCAAGCAGACATCTCAGTTAAGACCCATTTCCATGCTGTCTGTTATCTTTTCGTTTGGATTACTATGGAAGTACAAATTACACTCAAAAGCATGGATCAGTCCCTGGAAACGGCCTTGCAAGGGCAAGTAAAACCCTTGTTTATATATTACTTGGATGACTCTTGGGTTGAACTGGGTATCTAGAAATAGCGACCTAATATTTCTAGATCAGTTCCTTTAAAAACAAAAACACACTTGTATGGTGTAAGGGTCATCTTGAAGATATAGCGACAGTAACTACAAATAGCCTCCACCAACTATCAGCATTCAGTTATGTATTAAAAACACAAA